GGGGGGGGGTGCTTGTGGTCTGGTCTAGTCCCACCCGCGTGTGTTGAGCTACGGCTGTAGATCGGCATGTTATGCGTGCCGGGTGCTGCAGCCGTGTACGCTGTCTTCCATGGATGGATAACCATGGTTTCTCCTCCTTAGCCTTGACGCCGACAAAGGCACGGGTCACCCCCCTGCCACCCCTCGCGACCTCCCACGCCCCCGCTCACGAACTCCCAGTGTACACAATTTTAGTCCCAACAAGCTGGTTGAACCTCACGTACATTGTTCAACCTCCCGCTCGCCCAATCCTTGTTCCGTTTCAATGAACTGTTGTGGAATCTCACATAACATCGTGTTCCATCTCGCGCAGCGTGTAACAATATCTCCTTTTTTTTTTTTTTCAATAATTCTGCGGACTGTTGAAACCAGAGACGACGGACACCGGCAGCGCGTTCAGCTACTTGGAGTCGATCTCGATGGGCCAGTCCGTGGTGCCAGACGGTGGCAACGGTGCTCTTGAGGCCTTCACCGGCCCCGTCTACGGCCTCGTGGCCGCCTTGCTCGAGCAGGACATGGCGAGACCCGCGCGACACAAGCGAGGGCACCGTTTCCGCGAGCTGTTTTACCTCTCAAACGGCAAAAGCTTCCAGGTAACCACCTCGCAGAAACACGCAACACCACCAGAGCGACAACACCACCAGGGCGACAATACCACCACGCACTGCCGTTGCCTGTTCCGATCGGCTGGCATTTGTTACATCCTTCGTTCACATAGTGTGATTCGCTGTGTTATCGCGCGAAGGCTGTGCGGCCTTGTTGGGCGGTAGTCTCATCCGAGCGGCCCTTTCTGCTGGCTTAATTGCACCGTGTTTTGTGTTGTACGATCCTCGCGAATGGTACGACGCCGTGTCGAGATTCAACGCGCGTTCGGCTGTGTGTCTCGCTTGTGGCCCAACCCTGCTAGCGATCCATCAAGCACCTCTCAACTCACCGCCGTAGTCGGGGCGTGTGTCATGCGCCGACACTCTACCCGCCGTTTCCGTCGCACACCCCGATTCTAGACGCCTTTTGTCTGCTCGCTAATGGTACTGTGATTCTCCCTGATACTCTCGTGCTGCTGCCACCCCTGCTGTTTCTTCTTGGGTGCCGCCTTCCTGTTCAACTTGTGAAGTTCGTTTTGGGTTACCATTTTTCTTTGCTGTGCTGCTGTCGTAGTTGACCCCCATTGCTCTGACCAACGCCCCCGGTAACCACAACTGCGGTGCCGTGCATCTGTCTGTGCCTCGAAACCGATCACGCTTGCATAAGGCGGCGGTGCTAGAAGACGCTCTCGATGCCGTGCAAGACAGCCCCATGCTGTCTACGGAAGGCGTTCAAAGCTCACGCCCAGCGTCGAGGGCGGGAGGGGGAGGACCGGCGGCTTCTCTGGACGCAAGGGGCGAAGAGAGCGTGCAGAGACTCGAGAGCTTGAGAGAGCTGCTTGTCGCTGCTTTGCATCACCATCCCGATCTTCCCCTGGGTCTGTGCGTCAAGGGTGGGTTGCCTCGGACTCGTCCTGCTTCTTGGGCCAAGAGTGCTTGATTTTGCATCCGCGCTTCCTCTAACAAGCAACATCGTTCTGGAAAAATGGAACAACAAGGTTACCGCTGTTCTGTTGAAAAGTGGTTGTCTGTGGGTTAGGTGTGTGTGGGGGGGTGCCCAATGTACGTTGTGGGCACGAGCGAACATTTATTTCGTCATGTTGGACGCCTGGCGTGAGCTGAACCAATGTCTAAGCGTTCAGTATCTTGGTGAAAAACGTGGCAAGTACCGCTGCATAGGCGCTGTTTCCTAAAAAGTTGACGTTTGCCGTAATCACACCAAAGCTTTAAAGAGCTCTGCACCTCGGTCCAGTGACGAGCCTCCCGTGCCCACCTAACTCTACCTGTGAAACCAACCGCGGCAGGCGTTCACACGATCAACCTGCTGGGGTACCACGGCTCTCATGAGGCGAGGAGCAGGATGAAGTCGGTGGGGCTGCTCCGGGCACGAGACGACCTCGTCCGCCGGTGCCTCTTCCACCCCGTCGCGGCCGCGTGGGAGATAGTGTCGGCCTTGTCGCAGGTGCGTGCGCTTTTTATTATAGGCCGCTTGCTCTGGATCACAATGCCGCCCTGACGTTCGTCCGACCCAGCAGGGTTCCTGTCCCAGAGCTCTCAGAACCGCATGAATGTTTGGGTTGGATGCGGCTCCTGATCGTGTTGCTTACATCCTGGATCAGTAGGATCTCTATATATTTTTTTCTTTTGCTTGTTGCTGGATGTCGTGGACGCGACACTATTTGCTGTGCTCGATTATGGCAGAAATCGTTTCATCTGTCAGTGTTCATGTGTGCTCTGTCTACCATTCTTCCTACAGGCGGTGTGGTTCGTGCTATCTAGTAGTCGGTTGTTGCTTGAAGCAGACAGCCCGGTGCTCACGATGCAGTCGGTGTCGTGCAGAGTTTTTATATTTGTCTTGCTTGTCACTGGCGTCGTACGTTGCGCTTGATGCGGCAGCTAGGCTTGCTCCTCCACAGTCGTGGACTGCTATGTATGTCGGTGCTTCGCCCTTGCCGAAGTTTTTCATTAGCACGGAGAGCAGGGGACATGTGTCCTCGGCACTACTGCTGTCTGCTGTTTCAAGAAGAAATTACTCTTGGCATCTTCCCATGCTCTTGTTAAGAGTCAGAGGACAAGTGTTCTCGGCATCGAAATGCTCCTCCGAGCAACGCTTCTTCTCTAGCAGCCGCAGCTCCTGACTTTCACCTCCTCGATTCGTCGTTCGGCTTGTCGATCATTGTAGGTGGAGGATGCTTTGGAGACGCTCGTGTCACAGCACGGAGAGAAGTCGGGCGGCGAGGCTGAGACTGTCGCCGCAGGTATTGAGACAAGGACCACCCGTAACGTACGTGACCGCTCCACACTGCTAGGCTTAGCTGTGAGAGTGCTCCAACGGAGAAGCACAATGGAGATGCGCAATCTTGTCGGAAGAGCCATTCTCTAGTGCTGAACAGTGTTGTCAGCGTCAGCAGTTGGTAATAACAAGTACTGGGTTTTGACCGGCGCCGTTTATTGTGTGTTCTGGGTTCGTTGTTGCACCCGGGCTTTTGTTCACGACCAAGAGCACAAGGCAGCGGCAGCCCGAAGTAGGAACCTTTGGTGGAAGTAGGAGACCGCACGTGACGCGATACGTTTGTGGGCGTACGCCAGGCCTTCCGACAGGAGTGACGTGCCACCATTAGCGAGGAGTCCATCCAACAGTAGCAGTGAAACCTCCCCTCGCGTATCTATGTGTGCAATGATTTTGTATCACACCATACACACCCTCCGACGAATTTGTGCGTTCCTACCCCTCTGTAAGCGCTCTCGAAATTTGTGCGTCCGCCCGGTTGTCGTAGGAAGTGGTACGTTTTACCTTACCAGCCCTAAGTGTGTGCCCCTGATCCGATCCGGCATACCACTCGCCCACCGCCGCCTTGCCCCCTCCCCCCCTCCCCCTCGGCTCCCTCCTCTAACACCCGCAGGGGAAGTCGCGGTGCAGCTGCTGCATCTCTTCGTCGAGGTGACCGTCGCCGTCGTGTCCCAAGCCACAACGACAACAGCAACCGGCGGCGGCGGCGTCTCGTCCCCCGTCGCACGGCGCAACTCGGCCGCGCTTGCGGGGCGGCGGGCGACGCAGGTCGCCGCGGCGCGCGCCCTCGGGCGCGTGGCGGTGGCAAGCCCCGTCTGCCGCAGCACGGTGATCCGACTCGCGAGGCACCAGCGGCTGCTCGTCCGCTTGCTGCCGGCGCTCCGCTGCCCGCTGACCATCGAGGAGGTCGAGGTAAGCGCTATTTGACCGGCCCGATATTTTTGGTACCGCACGTGTCATGTGTTTGTTCCCAGCCACATCGAAACCGTTGTGAGAAGGGCGGGCCTCCCAACAAGACGCTATATTTCGACGTCGCCTGGGGCTTTGCCTCAATACGTGCCAGACTTCCAGTTTGTTTCGTCCGCAAGAATGCTCGATCCCGTAGCTTGAACCCACCTTACAACACCCGCTCTCCCCTTGGGCATTTTCTGCTGCTCTTTCGTTTTTCGTGTTGTTCAGGCTATCGAGCTTGGAAACATACCAGAGGCTTTGCCGTCGCTTTCGGGCAGCAGCCGCTGGTCCTTGGGATCGCTGAGCCTTCTCCCTACGTCTACAGCACCAACGTCGGTGTCTTGCATATCAGATGATGCCGAGGGTGAACAGGAGACGCTCGTAAGTCAAGCCGTGTGTTGTGTTTGTGTACTTTGATTGTTGTAGTTCGTTTGTGATGGACTCAATGTTGGGTTCAAGACTGGGGATTAGGGTCATGAAGACCCTAGCCCCCAAGTGTATATTTGCCTTGTTTTTGTTATTTTGTTATTTTGTTGCCTCTTCGTTGGTTGTTTGTGTAATTTGTTGACGTCGGTTTGCTGGAACTGCTCACCACTTGTCACCGACAGCAAAATACGGCGCGCCTTTCCCCGTGCCCTCACACTCTCCGACCCCCCCCCCCCCCCCCCCCCCCCCCCCCCCCCCCCCCCCCCCCCCCCCCCC